CGGACGGAACACACCGTGTTCTGAGCGGTATTGGTCGTTGACTTTCGCACATGCGCGCTGAGTAAGTTGAATTTATTATCGGTGACTTTTTGACAATGTTAATTATCAGGCGATAACGCTGGGGAGGGGATTTATCAAACACACACACACACACACACACACACACATATATATATATATATATATATATACATGTTCCAGGGAATTTTATGTTAATATCATTTTGCTCTTATACGAGAGTAATATTTCAGGTGATATCAACGTAGCGGCATCTCTCCTCGCGGCGTCGCGTCGTATACAAATTGCACTCGCGCAAATTAAACGCTCGCTCATAATTAAGCGATAGATCGCGACGGTGATGGCTCACGTAATAAATAATTATAGATGTGTGTATGCGTATTAACGTGTTTGTACGTAATAACTCCCGTCCTCGTTAGAAGGCGTGCTCATTACGCATTTAGATAGGATCGTAATGCGGCGAGGAGATGAAAATATAATTATCCGACGGCCGGGTTTTATATTGCGGGGGACGGTCGCATCGTGCGCGGGAGATACGCGCGCGCGCGCGCGCGCGCGTGCAACAAGCCAGGTCATCCTCTTGTGGGCTTGCACGTGAAAAATTAAAGTGGCAAATTGGTGACACGACCTGTGCACGAAGCGAACGGACGAACGTTCGCATACGCGTCGCGAACCGAACGTTCGTTCCGTTCCGTGTTGCCGCGACCGGTTTAGTGTGCGTTAATTCTCCAAGCGGTCAGTTAATTAAAGTAATCGAGATAGTACCGGGGCACTCGGTAATTAGTAGCTACGGCTAACCCGATAATGCGATCTCGGAATCGGCTTGCGCGCTCCACCAGCGTGGCGAGACTTGACACGATATTTCGCGCGGGTACTTTCAAGGAGATAGAGATAGAACAGAATAAGGGAACGCAGACAAGGTCGTGTATACGCGAGGAAATTGTTTCGTTCTCTCTCCCTCCTTCTCTCTCTCTCTCTCTCTCTCTCTCTCTCTCTCTCTCTCTCTCTCTCTCTCTTCTACTCTCTTTCGCGTGAGGTTTCTGTCGCGAGACTGTGAATTTTCGCGAATGTTTGGAAGTACAAGTTTTTTCTTCTGCTTTTTCTCTGCACGCGTATTCATTTGACGTTCAGCGCTTTTGGCCTAAATGGTTTCCGAGCTATCGTTATGTTTTCACAGCGGAAAGTATTTTTCGACGACACACACATGCTCTCTCTCTCTCTCTCTCTTTTCTCTCTCTCTCTCTCTCTCTCTCTCTCTCTTTTTTTCTCTCTCCTTTTCTGTCTCTCGACTATCATTTCACCGATGTTTCGGCTGTCGATTCGTTGATCTTCATCGACAATTTAACAGCGGAATTTAGCGAATAACATTCGCGAATGAATTACTTGAACGATGTGTTAATTTCCACATAATGAATGCGTCGATCTGGGCTGATAATTATTCATTATCTTCTCATCAGAAGCGCAAGCTCGCTGTCACCGCGATCAGTCAGCGATAATCAGTCGACTAAACTGTCGATAATCTATGCGGACAAATCGATATTGACGCGAATGAAATTCGCGCGGATCGGTTAGCGTCGTGTTTTTTGTCTTAATATAATTTGCATAGCTCGTAGTTGCTAATACGCTATCACTTTCCGTGTTCACGGTGGGTAAAGCGTTTCAAATTCACGGGAGCGTTGTGGCTGGCATACGTAGAACGAAAGAGAGATGCCCAAACACCGGAAGTTCATGCTTATTCACTGAGCACCAAAAGGGCGACCGGGTATAATTTACGTATAAATTAAGCGGAATGAATCAACGGCAGGCGATTAATCGCAATGGCTCACTCGTGATAATAATAATGCTCGTTCGCTTGTTTACGAACGTTAAGCGAATACATTACCTATTTTATTATCCGGCCACGTGGACACTACATCTATTATTTCCACTTCCTCGCGCGCGATGCTTGGCCCCACTCTTGGTACAAATATTTCCTCCGCCTTGATACGCGTGTGATAAACTTGACCATGTTAATTATAATGTCGCCTACTGAAAGTCCAATTCCGTGAAGAGATTGAAGATTCACTGAGCGCGTTATGTTGCTGTCGGATGACAGGTGGCGATTATCATACTTCTGATTAAATTATTGATAAAGTTGCTAGAATAATCGGTCGTGAACATCTGAATAAAATGATCGCTAGGGAAGTGTTAAGATAGAAAAGAAAAGGTATATATATATATATATAAATCATACTTCTGATTAAATTATTGATAAAGTTGCGAGAATAATGGTCGTGGACACCTGAATAAAATGATCGCTAGGGAAGAGTTTGTGCAAGTGTTAAGATCGAGATAAAAAAAGGTACATATATAGTAAATCTCCTCTACGAGAGTAGAACAGTTTAGCGAAAAAAAAAAAATGATCTATCTCGTGAAATAAATTTTCGATGAACTTTCACGACGACATCGTGCGTAATTTCGGAAGATAAAACTCGTTTTTTTCATCAAAATTGCCTCATAGTATAGTAGGGAGACATTGTAATCGCATGACGGCAATTAGCGAAGCTCGTTCGTAAGCAAATACGAAATTGCCGCTGTAATGTGTAGCTCACGTAAAAACGATATCGATGAAAACCGTGAGAAGTGGTGCCTCTCATGAAAACGCGATTCCCATACTTTGTGTTGGCCAAAGTAGCGCGCACCACGAAGGGGGAAGAGAATGGAGCGATGTGAGGGTAGGCGGATTGCACGAAGTAAACAGGCCGTGAAATTACCTTTTAAATATTAGATTATGATTAAATGTGTACCTACCTCCGAGGCACTAAATGTTCAGCGCCGCCCTCCGCGCAACTCATAAAGCCAATGGGGGTGGCTTATGGTGGATGAGTCTCGAACACCTCTCTCGAGCTTATATCGAGATATCAATCAGCTCTTGGCATCAGATAAGATTGACTGCTCAGGAACTGAGTGCTTTTCAAAACCCGGATGAGGTCCCTCGTGTCTTGCCAGACTATCAAGCATCGGGATTTTTGCGTACCTCGTAAAAATGGCAAGTGGAAGAGCTACGTGCCTGAAAGTAAAACATGATCTTCATAGTTTAAAAAAGCATCAGTGCAAACATTATATTGCATGTCTGTTTGGGTCGAGAAAAAAATACTTTTATATCTCTCACGTACAAAAGTACTCTGTGCAAGTGCAAGTTCGTCCTGAAATCTGAAAAATCGCATTACGCGACACAAACGTGCATTACAACGAAGACGAAGTATTTCCAAAACGTGCGGAAAAATATTTCCAACCGGAGGGGGGGACCAGCAACTTAATCAATCCATTCGTCCTTATTTTACTTACCGATGCTCGCTCTTCCTCTACTATTCGCTCATAGGCATCGCTCACTCGCGCACCGCGCTCCGGCAACTGCCACGACTTTGGCGAAGAATTCGCCCGTCGTCTGGCTTGTGTGAAACGTCATAAACATCCCCGTAACTGCGGTAACGACGTCTCCGGCACATCGATCGGTAATCTTACCCGCCGCGCGCGGTGGCTATACTCAATATTCTACGATGCCCCACATGCATTGCGCCTCATCGCGCACACGTAAATTGTAACAACATTGTTCAGCTTTGTTGACACCTAATTGGTATCGTTAACGCGCACCGGCTCGTAAACGTTCTTCGTAGCGGCACCTTCGCCGATAAATTTCCCTGCACTCCCCCGTTAAAGGACTTAAAGGCCCGAAGGCTGCCGAAGGCGTGTGCACGCGGACTCAGGCCGTAAAGACGGCCGTGATGGGCAGGTGTTTATATCCGGCTTCTCGCGCGACCGGTGGCCGCCGTTCCGCGTCCGTCCGTCCGTCCGTCCGTCCGTCCGTCCGTCCGTCCTTCCGTCCGTCCATCCGTCCGTCCGCGCGCATACGATATGCATACATATGCATAAAAAGAACGTAATGCCCAGTGGGCATTGTACGCCCCCGCTTGCCTCCGTTGGTCGAAAACTTTCCGGCGACGTAAGCATATGCATTGCTCACTTAACAAGATTGATATAACGAGATATACCGGGCGCGATGGCGCGACGTGGCGGGTGTGGGTGTACGCGCGCGCGCGCGAGCGCGCGCGAGCGCGCGAGCGCCCGGCTGTGCGTGTACATCCGCAATTACGCGCAACGGAGGATACGTAACAGATAATTAATGCAAACGAGGGGCTGCCCGGGAAATTTCGGCCTCGCCGGACCTGTCGGAAAGGTGCGAAGTGGCTCGGAAAAATATTTACGACGCCGCCGATGCGACGCGTTTCCGTGGGAACCGCGGCGCTGTGGATCCGATCGCGCGTAGATTACAAGAGAGGACGAGAGAGAGAGAGAGAGAGAGAGAGAGAGAGAGAGAGAGAGAGAGGCGACAAGATTACGAGAGAGGACGAAATGACTGCGTAATTTACGCGGTCCGCTGCGCGGCCGCAGCTCCGGAGTCTCGAGTCTTTCGCTCGACGATTCGATCGTCTGCGGAGAGGCTTCGAAAAGACGGGCAAGACGTTTCGTCGGAAACGCTCTCTTATATCCGTCGCGAGCGGCAGCCGGAGGTGGTGCTCCGTGTGTTGTCTAAATAACACGAGAAACGTAAGTTTCACGCCGCGCTTGATGACGGTGCCCTCGTGTTGGCCGACAAGTAGCTCCGCATCCCGAAGTCTCTCCGCATCCCGCCATTCCGTTTGAGGGCGAACGAGAAGTTTGAAATCTCCGGGGAGAGTTTGCCGACTAAAACCAACCCCTGCCGGCTGCTCGAGGGGCTGCGCCACAATACAAGCAATAACACGTACCAACCCCTCTCCTCCTCCACCGCGCGGCCCGGCAAACTCACTGTCGCCTCGTGCACGCACCCTCTCTTACCTTAATCGATGAAGGATGATTTGGTCTTAAATAAACTTCTCACCTCCGCCGACGTAGACCACGTCCCCTTCTTCGACCCTCCGCCATTTATCACATAAATTGTCGAGTGGTCACTTTGATTATAGGCGTACCCTGCCGCTGCTTCTTGCATCCTCCTGTCGGGACTACAATCGAATCCGATGCTTCGGAGAACACAAACGTCGTTCGACGACGACCGAATTTTCCTTTCAAAAGCGAGATTCAAGTCGAGCAAAATTGCCATGCGAAAGAGAGAAAGAGAGAGAGAGAGAGAGAGAGAGAGAGAGAGAGAGAGAGAGAGAAAGAGGTGAAACTGAAATAATTTCGACAAGCCCGAAGACTGAAGGTACTTCTGAAGGCGCAAGCTTTGTAACATTATGAGAAAATATCATTCGAATTATACGTCACACAAAGAGAGATCTCGGCGAAAGGTCGGTGACTCCGTGCAACTTCTCGCATAAACAGATCCTGAAAACGAAGAAGGCCGAGCGCGCCTGGATCGTTAAGGGCATTAGAATACTCTTAAGACCCCCCCCAGGCACGCCTTTGCGGGGATCTCTCGAGACTGCAAGGAACCCTGAGAAACGGACAAAAGAGTACCGATCGAAGGAGGAGGAGTTGTAGCGCGAGGCGAGACGGTATTATTCCTCGGCGAACGGAAACGCATGGAAGGTACACCGACATCCGGCCACGTGTTCCCCGCCAAGGTGGACCAATGGAAGCTGCAACACCGAGGAAGGACCAACCTGGCGCGAGGCTCCAGGAGAAGACCCGGGGCGACTCGGGCGGCGGCACGCGCCACCGCTGCGCGCGACCGGGAATTATTCAAATGGAATTCACAAAACGAGCCAGCTGCCTTCGCTTCGGCTCGGATCCCAAATTGGGGGAACGACCGAGGAGCCATACGCCGTGCATAAGGCCTTTTTATGTCGCCCGCCAGCTCGTCCCCGCCCTCTATTTGCCCGACAATTTGACACCGATTTACGGCTTCGCCCGAGTCAAATCGCGGGTAAGCCTCGAAATATCTCGGCCGAATAATAAGGACGCCGAGACGCGCGCGACGGCGCTCATGGGAGCTCGCTTCTCTACCTATTAATTCGCTGGACGTGCGTCCAGTTTGCACGCGAGATCAAGTTCTCCTTCATTGATTAACTCGCAAAGCTCTTGACGAAAAGTGTAACATGTGGGAAATACCGTAAGTGGGAAAGACCGCGCGTGGTCATTGACATACAGAGAACCACAACCATCTTTGATCGTATTTTATAAATATTGTCTTGATTATTCCTAACGTTTCAACGATTGGAACCTATCGCAACAGCCAGGATCGTGTCTTCGACATACGTCGTGATTAATCTTGATCGCGGAGGTGTTCTCCTCCAAACGCACTTGTATCCGTAAATTGTCGTTTGTTTCTATCTTGCCGTCGAGACGCAAGAAAATTCGGAATTTCGCCGTCACGAGGAATACGATGTCGCGCGATTCATTCGACGGTTCCCTTCGCAGCACATCTCTCCGTTGAAATCATTTCCGCAAGATTTCTTCGCTGTTCCAGCCGACGACGTAGCCCGAGGGGTTAAATTGTGACATTTAACGTGTAATATCCTATATAATCTTGTATGAAAAGCGCCATGCAGTGGTTCGCGATAGAATAAAGCTACGTGGTAGGAGGGGTGGTTTCTCAGGGGCGGTTAGGAGGACGGTTAAAGGCATTGAGCCGTCCAAGCCACTCGCGAGAGTTCCGAGCTTCTGAGACCGACGGCAGAAACCCCCGGGGGTTGGGGGTGGCAGATGGCAGCCATCGGACCAGTTCTTTCCAGCACTTCGTCCCACCGGAATCGTCTCTTCGTCTGCTTACACCGAGAAAAGAGTGAGGGATTAAGAGTCCGGTAGACATCCGAGTGTCATCGCGGCGATAATAAACGTCTCTTGCGAAAGAATCTTTCGGAGACGATTGAGCTCCTCACGAGCGAGACGCGGAGGGCGGCCGATGGAAAGCTCGAATTTTACGAGGGTAGTCCCAGAAGTACCTGACCTGACCTATAGATAGCGGTTGTTGTTTGAAAAGAATGACTATGGTAGAGAGTACCAACCTTATAAAGCTTAAGTTTGAAGTTTGACGACGCTACGTTGTTTAGTATTTGTTTGGCAGCCATCAATAGTGAACGCTCTCAGTGAATTTGTAAACATGGAAAAAATTGGTCAAAGTTATGTGATACAATACTTTCATTTGAAAGGCCTCAGTCCAACCAGTATGAAAGCGGAGCTAGATTCTACTCCGGGGGAGTCTGCTCCTTCGTTTACAAGTACAGTAAAATATTGGGTGGCAGAGTTTAAACGAGGCCGTACGAGCTGCCAAGACGAACATCGCAGTGGTCGACCAAGTGAGGTCGCCACGCCAGAAACGGTGAAGAAAATCCACAAAATGGTATTGGATGACCGTCGCGACTGAAAGTGCGCGAGTTAGCAGACATGGTTAGCAGGCATTTCAAAAAGTGCTGCACATCGCATATTGACTGAAAATTTGGACATGAGAAAGCTGCGCGCAAGATGGATGCCGCGATTGGAACAAAAACAGCGTCGTGAGGATGTTTCAATCGAGTGTTTGGCGAAGTTTCGCAGCAATAAAACCGATTCATAACCATGGATGAAACATGGGTCCATCACTTCACACCTGAGACGAAGGAACAGTCAAAACAATGGACCGAGGTGGCTTGATGGCTATTTTGAGGAGCTCGACGATTCCCACTATAAACAGGGTATCGAAGCTATTGAACATCGCTGGGAAAAGTGTATTGAGCTAGAAGGAGACTATGTAGAAAAATAAAGATTTTTTTTTCCTAAATCCTTTGTGTTTTCCTTGTTAGGTCAGGTACTTCTGGGACTACCCTCGTACATGCGCGTCTACCCAAAATTCATTTCTGCGCCTTTCTATCGCTGCAAAGTCATTTCGGGTCATTACCCCTTTTCGCGGTGAGGAAGAAAACTCTAAATGTGCGCGACGCGCACGCACACACACACATCAAGGGAGATTTAGCAACGTCTATTTCTGGAATTGTTTCGTGTTAACCAACACTACGCGATATCACACAGCCGACGAAGGATATTCGACGTGAATAGCCGCACGCAAATATCGTCACGGCTATTGCTTCCTTATCAGATATCAGTTATGTGCTCGATTTGGGGTGCGTGCAGCCTATTACGTCGGCGATCCATTGATAAGCACGTCAAATCCGCCAGCAACACACTCCTCGGCAACTAAGCCGCTATTGAGGGTCCCCACGACTACTCGAATCGATCATCGAACACCTTCCGAGATTGAAGTATCCTCGATTCAGCCTGTCTTAGAACGCGTCCCGACCACTCGCCTTTTATCCTTTCGTCCGTCACGGAAATGAAGAATTACAAGCAGCGCCGTGAGCCCTCGTGTTTTGCACGACCGAGCAATCAAAGTCGCGATGGAAACTCCTTTCAATTCACAGTGGCACGTAACAATGGGACAATCTAGAATTTCACTCATCGCGTTTCATCGCGTGTAATATTACGGATCATTTTTTTTCTTTTCCTCTTTACCTTGAAGAAATCCCAGAAGTCGTTGACACAAGACACAAATTTTTCGACTCATCGACTTAATTAAGTATTCTCAATTTGCTCCGACGCCGGTACACCTTTCGAGAGCGCTAAGCCCGCTTTTCTTAGACACCCTCTCGAGCGCGGCTCCGTGCGCCGAAAACGTTGCTTGTCCTCTGCAGACTGCACATCGTCTCCCGATGAACAACAATCCGCCGGTGGCAGCCGGCACGCGCCACTCAAGGAGCTCTCTATTCATCTCACCATGATTGCCGAAGACGCGTATAAGTATACCGCGCGAGGCAAATGGCACGCGAGACTTCCGCCACCGGTCCAGCTCACCTTTGCAACGTCCCCCGTGGTCGGGTATCGGGTTCTGCTTCTATTCTTTCTTCGAGAATCGAGATCGCGATTGAATGGCGAGAGCGGAAGCGGCGCGGACTCCTAGACGCACGCCCCCGTGCGCGTTTTTGTGCGCGCGCGTACGAGAGAAACCCTTTCTCGCCGTTTATTGTCTCAGTTTATTGTCTCGCCGGCTCGGCGAGAATGACTGGATACGCGGCGGCAAGAAGAAGGAGGTTCCTCTCTCCGATTTTTTTCTTTTTCTTTTTTGGAACGTTTGGTGAAACTTGCACGTTAAACCGAAAATACGATTCTCACGACATCCGTCGAAAGGCGACGATAGCCGGAAATTTGTAAATTCCTCGCTTTTGTATCGCAACATTCATCGGTATTCCTCGATCACGTCTGTAAAGAAAAAAAAAAAATTGACAAAGGGAACTGAGATTCCTGTCCGCCCCGCCTTTCAGACGAATAACGAGGACTCAGCCTTAACGATCCCTCGCAATCCGGCCGCGCTCGCGCGTGTCGCGTTATTCGCGGCATCGCGATAATTTCCAATTCCGGCCTCGTCCGCTGGCCCGGAGGCCCTCGGCGAGTCGAACGTGACGAAAACGGCCGCCGTAGGGTGGTCTGAATGGGCCACCAAGTGACAATGGCGGCGCAATTGTTTCCCTGACTTTTATCCCACTCATTATTCGGCGCGACTATTATATGATCGTCATAGCGGCGATCGCGTCGTTATGGGAGGCCGCGACGCGGTCTCGAGTTACCGTCGCGCTGGGCCATTGTGTGCCGGAGCGGAGACGCGGAACACGCGCGAAGCCGAAAATACGAAGCGAGCGCGACGGCGCAGCGTGACACGGCGCGGCGCGGCGCGGCGCGGCGCGGCGCGGCACGGCGTTCACATGCGTCAGCGACCGGCACGTGTACGGTTTCGCGCTTAAACGGTTCTTGTCAGAATGTACGTATGTATCTCCGTCCGAGCGAACGGAGCGCGAGCTGGACAGGGCAGGCGGCGGCAGGGAGAGAGAGAGAGAGAGAGAGAGGTCGCGGGCGCAATTAGTCGCTCCGCAGCCCACGGCTGGTTTGCGTTTATGACTTTGCGACTTTGCGACTTGCGCGTGGATCGATCGACGCCGCTGCGACGAATTTGGCGCGTATCTCTCAGCGGATCAACGGCGACCCGAATTTACACGCAGACGTTATCGTCGGAGGCGGGATTATGACGAGACATTGACGACGCATATTTCGTGCGATGAAATTCAAGGTGTTGATATTATCGGCCGAGGGGGACTGATAACTATCACGCGCGTGTCGTAAAATCCAGAACGAAGGAGACACGCGACACTGCGTCTAAACTGACAATGAGATCAAAGGATGCTCAACGCATTTGGGTATCATGACGGTCACCTGCATGACCGTCATTGTGATACAACCAGACTCATCAAGTTACGCGTGATGATTGAATGTTGATCGATCAACAATTTCTGTGCGTTTGGCAGCCATGGGAAGGATTTACAAGGGAGGAAGATAGGTGCCATACGAACTGAAAGAAAGAGACATCGAGAGGCGAAAAGCCATGTCTGAGATCTTGCTTGCCAGGCAAAGAAGAAAAGGTTTCTTGCTTCGTATTGTGACTGAAGACGAAAAGTGGGTACGTTTCGATAATCCCAAACGAAGGAAATCCATTAGCGAGCCAGAAAAACCATCCACCGTCGATACCAAAGAGGAATATTCACGGCAAGAAAGTAATGCTCTGTATATGGTGAGACCAGAAGTGTATCATGAACTATTGAAACAGAGCCAAACCATCATCATGCCGAACTTTACCAACAACAATTGATCCGTTTAAACAACGCATTGAAGAGTAAGCGGCCGGAATATGCAAAGAGACACGACAAAGTGATCTTCCAGCACGATAACGCTCGGCCACATGTTGGAAAGATTGTGAAGGCCACCTTGGAAACGTTAGGCTGGGACGTTTTACCTCACCCGCCGTATTCACCAGACATTGCTCCATCCGATTATCATTTGTTCAGATCGATGGCACACGGGCTTTCGGACCAGCACTTCAACAATTATGAAGAAATGGAGGAATGG